AGCACAGGAGGCGCATGGGAAGGACGAGGAACCGTCTTACGACTGCTGTGTTGCAAGGTCAGCGTTCCTCCCGCTCGTGCCTCATTTTTCTCACGGCAGGTGCCGCGCTCTCCCAGAACCCCCGCCTGGTGACGCTGGTTCCTGATGGCTCAGCACAAGACCCTGTTCGTGTATGACTGCCAATCTAAGAGCACCTCCCCCCTCAATTCTCTGTAGGGAACTACGGTAGGAAGGTCTTGAGTTAATGTGTGCTGGGGAGCATTTCTTACTCCCGGAGACACGTTGTGCCGCTTTGCCAGGCGATGGCTTTCTTCATGGCCCGACCTGTGTCCCTTATCGTCATCTCCAGGTTTGTAACATTGGCACCGGAGTCCTCAACCGGACCGCCTTTGACCACGAGGGTCTTACCGCGCTGTCCCAGGATCCAGTCGGGTAACGTGCCTGAAGGACCGTCAGCAAATCCTCGTTGAACTCATAGTTTATTCACTACTCAGAATTATACCTGTCAGTTCTCCCTTTCGGTGTGGTAAATGAGATCATGACCTGAGCCGAAATCAAGAGTCCTACAGCTCAACCAGCTGAGCCACCCAGGCGCCCCTCGCAATACCTTTTACAACCATATGACCTTGAGAAATGCACGGAAGTCTGGTGATTCTCAGTGGCCTCAGCTGTAGAATAGGGTTACTGATGCCTGCCACGTGGAGCTGGGGTGAGGACTGAGTGGGGTGCATCTGTGGGACGTACAGCAGAGTCTGATGCAGGGAGTGTTTGAAAGAAGTGGGTATCGAGACTGTCATCGTTAACATGAACCAGTTGGAAACCAGAGTGATGCGGTGACACCAGGATGCTGGCAGATACGGGGTTGTCCATGGCAGGAGGGCACAGGACCATCTCTAGGTCTCTGGTAGGTGTCACCCCCGGGGGTGACAGTGGTAGCTCCCACGTGAATGGGCTGAGAAAAGCTTATTTCTCAGGGAGCAAGGACTTTTGCTTCGACGAGTCTCGTTAAAATTTTGTGTAATTTGTAGACATTTCTGTTATAGGTGCTCGTCTCTCTTCTTCTGAGATCTGATGACCAGATCTGAATTCTTTAGAAGCTCAAGGCTTAAGCAGTTTCATACATTTACTTGTTGAAAGTCTTTTTGGAAGGCTTAAGAGCAAATCACTCATCATTTTGTGATTGCTTAAAGGTGCACGTTGTATTTTATGTGTCAACTTTTTGTTACATTCTAGGTAGTTAGCATATAGTATAATGTTAGTTTCAGGAGCAGCATTTAGTGATTCATCGCTTATGTGCATCACTCATTGCTCATCACAACAAGTGCCCTCTTTAATACCCACCACCCATCTAGCCCAACCCCCACCCACCTCGCCTCCAGCAGCCCTCAGTTTGTTCTCTATAGTTACGAGTCTCTTATGGTTTGCCCCCCTCTCATGTTTTTCCTCCGCCTGTATTCATCTGTTTTGTTTCTTAAATTCCACATATGAGTGGAATCATATGGCGTCTGTCTTTCTCTGACTTCTGTCACTTAGCATAATGCATTCTGGTTCCATCCACGTCAGTGCAAATGGCAGGGTTTGTTCTTTTTGATGGCTGAGTAATATTCCATTGTGTCTTCCACTTCTTTATCCACTCATCAGTCAGTGGACATTTGGGCCCTTTCCATAATTTGGCGGTTACTGATAAGGACATGTTACATTTTTATCCTAACTCCTTTTTCATTCCATTCATACTCTTACAGCGTATAAGGTCGCAGGCATCATTTTTACTATTATCTTTTGTGTTCAAGCTAAACCATGGCTCTGACGAAAAACTAGGTTCCTCTCTTCTGGTCGTAACTGGTGGCTTCCACATACATAAAAGAGGGAGAGGAGGTGAAGACCATGGAGTAAATTAGACATATTCTCCGGAGCAGGGGCAGTCCGTAGTTATCTCAGGAGCTCTTTAAGATAAGCATTATGTTTCTCATTTTAGAGTTGAGAATCCAAAGCCCAGTTTTTAGTGACATGTCCAAAATCTAACAGTTGGAGGGAAACATAAGGACCAGAACCCAGGTCGACCCAACTGTGTAAGGCAGGGGACGTCCGTCTAACTTCATAGAGTAAGAGGAGAATATCAAGGTCACTAAATCCGAGAGCAGAAGTTAAAGGCACTGCCTGCTAAAATCTTTGTTAATATCAGGGATTTGTGGGGGAGAAAATGGAAAGAATAGGAGGTCGGCCTGTAAGATGCGCTTTTCAAACATAAAACCGCATCTTAAAGAAGACAGTATTTGAACAGATACTATTTCCGTCTTGCTCCCTTGAAACATTTGTTCTGTCTCAGCAAGTGGACCTTCCCTAGTTACCTGTGCCTTTATAAAGCCTAAGCCCTGAGCATTGGTCATACACATTTAATCACTTTCGAGAACTTACAGGCCACTTAATAATATTTGAGTGAAAACTGTAAAGGGAAAATATGACATATTTTAAAGTAAACTCCTCGTTCTCCAGATTAGAGCACCGCTTAGATGGCAGAGCATGAAAATGGAAACCAACTGCTCCTGACTCTGGCCGTCTTGACCATGCCTTCATCCAAGCACTGACAGGCCATTTCCTAGCAAGAAGAGGAGAGACCAGGGGAGGATTGGGGGGGGAAGGGGGGGGAACGATGAGAATGAAGTATGATCCTGTGTGTCACACATTTTGAGCCAGGTCATCTACTGCCTTTATGGCCATTTGATTTTATTATCTTTATGTAACAGGAACTGAAACTCAGGAAAGTTTTACACTGAGCCCAGACGCAGGATGATCTGACTTCACAGAAGACCACTCTGCCTCCCGGGAGAGCCCCGGCTGTTCTGTTACTACACGTTAAAAGACATTTCTTATGTGGATATTTATGTGTTGAGAGACACCCTGGCAGTGATCAATAATAACCACTGATTTTGATTTTGTAGCCAAAGCAGTAGTTCTCCATAAGACACCTCCTTACAAATGCCCTTCAATGAAAGCCAAAGCCATAACATTAAGAAAGTCCATGGGGCATGGCTGAATTACTTACGATAAAGTCTGCAAATCGGAGGTGTGTGGAAAGTAATTAACATGGATTTCCCCTACGTATCTTAGCCTTTGGCCTCTGAAAACCTGCCGATAGCATTTGGAACATTTCCTGCCCCGTAGATCCCCGAGGGAGTGTTCTCTACGTAAAACAATCCTTTTAAAAATTCCGTTTCAGTTGAAAATGGAATGGTTCTAAACTTCATGTTATGATGGAAAGAATCATTTGGGCTTAAAGGCAATCTTTCTGACCTGCTTTGAAAATTACTGTCCCCTCAGTTGGAAGAGGAAGCAACTTAATGTGCTTTAAAAATCTCTCGGGGCGCCTGGGTGGCGCAGTCGGTTGGGCGTCCGAC